ATTTAATACCTAATAAATAAATATCTCGTAATTGCTGTTGCCATTCACAAAAATCCAGATATTTATAGATGTTTCCAGTATATTCGAGAAATTAATTATAAAGCTTATAAAAGCCGAGAAAAAACAACTCATCTCAGTGTAGTTCTAGCGAACTGTTTGTTTACTTGATGCTGTGATTGATTTGTCACACAGCATTAAGTAAACAAACAGTTCGCTAGAAATGCTTGCTCACTTTAAATGCTGTGATTGATTTCGCTGTGAGATAGAATTAGTTTCTCTGTTTTGAATTGATTTTTGCTAAACGTTTGACATTTTGTGATATTGTTAGAATATTTTTGAAGAAATATTTCAGCATTTTGATTTATCTCTTGTGGAAAGAATAAATTTTTGTTAACTTTTTAACGTTAACCGTGTTTATTCTAGCCCTTTGTATTCAGTATGTCTATATCAAAACCAAGTGGTAGTAAAATTAAACGAAAAATCGCTGACGAACATAGAATATTCCAAGTAAAATGGGAATTAGAATATTTTTGCTGTGAAATAAAAGATAAAATAATCTGCTTGATATGTAATAATACTATTAATGTACCAAAGTTATGTAATATTAAACGTCATTACGAACAACACAAATCGAAATATAACAATTACGAAGGATTAATGAGAGAAGAAAAGTTGAAAGAGCTCAAGTTAGGAGTGAAAAAGCAACAGTCCATGTTTAGTAAAGTATTGCAAGAAAGTGAAGCGCGGCGGGTACATGCAAGCTACGTCTTCGTCCGAGTTGATAGCTAAACATTCGAAGCCTTTTACTGACGGTGATTTCATCAAGGAATGCCTAATGAAAGCTGGAAAAAATTGTTTGTCCTGGAAATGTGAAGGCTTTTCAATCAATTTCATTGTCTCGAAATACAGTTGCGGAAAGAGTTACTGATTTAGCCGCGAATTTAAGTGATCAGATCAAAGCAAAATCATCTAGTTTCGAAAGTTTCTCCATTGCCTGTGACGAGAGCACGGACATTAGTGGCAAAGCTCAATTAGCAGTGTTTCTTCGTTCTTGTGACAAGAATTTTAACATTTTTGAGGAATTACTGGAACTAATACCGATGCCTGGTACTACCACAGGAGAAGATATATTTACTTGTGTTTTTGGACTTCTGCAGAAATACAATCTACCTTTGGCAAAATTAAATTCTGTAGCTACAGATGGCGCTCCATCAATGACCGGGAAAAACAAGGGCTTCGTAGCATTACTAAGAAAAAAACTTAGTGAAATTCATGGTTCAAACATTCATCATATGCATTGTATTATACATCAAGAAGTTCTATGCACGAAAGTAATAAATATGGAGAATGTTTTGTCATATATAAAAAAAGTTATAAATTTTATAAGATCTCGAGGTTTAAATCAGCGTCAATTCACTGCTTTCTTAAGTGAGTTAGATAGTGAATATTCGGGTTTGTCCTACTATACCGAGGTACGTTGGTTATCTTGCTCCAAACAATTCTGGGATTTGAAAGAAGAAATATGTCAGTTTTTAAAAACGAAAAATCAAGACGTAAGTTTGTTTTACGATCCAATATGGATACAAGATTTATCTTTCTTGGTTGATATAACCAAACACTTAACCGATTTAAATTTATCGTTACAAGGAAAAGATCATATCATTACGAACATGTTTGACATAATTAAAGCATTCAAATGTCAACTAGTTCTTTGGGAAAAACAACTTAAAAATGAAGATTTGACGCACTTCCCGACGTGCAGCATGAATAAATCAAGTTTAGATATACTTGTTCGTATCAAAAATACGCAGAAAAAAATTGCAAATTTAACAACTGAATTTGAAACGAGGTTTAATGATTTTAGTTCCCTCGAAGACAATTTTTTTTTTTTTTTTTCGATTTTCTCAATAAGTATTGACTCAGTACCCAGCCATATGCAAATGGAGGTGATCGAGATTCAATGCAACTCAAATTTGAAAGCAAAATTCATTGAAGTGGGCGTGCCTGAATTTTACAAATATTTACCAGCCAGGTTTGAAAATACTCGAAAATTCGCATATGAAATTTTTCCATGTTTTCGGTGCGAGCAGTTATTTTCAGTCATGAAAGGTAATAAGTCTCCTATTAGAAACCGTATTAATGATGCTCACCTTGGGTCAGCGTTGAAAGTTATCACTGCAAACAAAATTTCTCCCGAAATAGCAGAGAAGAGATGTCAAGTATCAGGACGTAAACATTAAATTTTTCTTGTTCTTTTCTATATATATGTTTATTATTGTATTATTCGAAATAAATCTACGTTTCTATGAATATTGATTTTTTTTTTTTTTCGGCCCGCCTAAAGTTAAACCTTGTTTGTTTGGCCCAAGTGTACCTATGAGTTTGACATCCCTGTTGTAGAGCATCGTCGATTTAGTACAAAACAACACCTTGTGGACATGAATGTTAAGAACAGAACGTTTTAAACGCGCATTTGTTTGTTCTCGATTTCCTACATTGTTACGTCATGAAACGATCTTAGAAAAGAAAAAATAACTATTTTCAGAACAAAAGCTACCTTTATTTTTGATGTTCAGACTTCTCTCCGTCAGCTGTCATGCGCATCTGGACACTTGTTAGAACTTCATATTGCACGCGTTGTAGCATAGCAGGCGGCACGTATGCACAAGCATCTGTAATACGTCGTTGAAGGTCTTGCAATGTTTGTGGAGGGGTCGCATACACCTGCTGTATGAGGTATCCCCACAGGAAAAAGTCCATTGGAATCAGGTCAGGTGAACGAGGAGGCTACTTTTCGAAACCACCAAACCAAATTATTCGTTCTCCGAATTCCCCCATCAGGTACTACTCCACTTGTGACGTCTTGTGCGCAGGCGCGCGGTCATGTTGAAACCATGCATTCCGGAGTTGAAGCAACGGCAGGTTCTCAACAAAATCGGGTATTTTATCTTGCAGAAGTTCTAAATATCGTGTGGCCGTTCACTTATCCTGATAAAATATTGGGCCCATTAGCCTGTTATTAAAAATTCCCCACCCAACATTAATCAAAAACCGTATTTGATCTCAAATGTCGGCAGAACATGATGGATTTTTACCCCGTGCCCAGTAATGGGTAATGCCTATTGTACATTCCGTTTCGCATACCTTGTCACACTATATCTTCCAAGAATGTTGGCTGGACCGCTATCTGATTCATGACGAAGTTGTACCATGCGAAACGTCTTTCGGCATCCCCTTCCAGTAATGCCTGGTTAGATGTTGGCCGGTATGGATGAGCACATAATTCATTTAGGTCTTTCCAAATGCGACTTTTTGAGAAGCCACAGTTTTCACTTTTCTCTCTTGTGTGCCGTTTGGATTTGTGAAAGCGTATGCTGAAACATCATCCGGCTATACTTTCCGCCCTACATTAGCTGGTCTTCCGGATTGAAGTCGGCTAGTCGCGCAGCTTATCTGCCTTAAATGTTTTACAACCTGTAGGTTGGTTTTGCGTGTAGGATGCGGGTCTGCAGAAGAAGTTGCCGATACAACCGCGCTGCCGATCGTGCTTTGCGCCCACGTTCACAGTAAAGTAGAACCATCTGGCAATATTCATTTTTTGAAAATCGCTCCATGGACATGAACTTCAACATAGATGTACCTCTTTTACAGCTGTCTCAGATGAACAGGTATGACGTTTCATACACTATCTGAAATAAGGCACAAATTCACACACCGAGCTCAAGTTGCATTGAGTTGATGCGTTTTGCGAGACGATTGTTCACGATCTGCAAATTGTTTACTCTGTTTGTATTGGCAATCAGTACAAGGGTGCATCCCGCGGAGTTTGAATCACAGTCCTCTCGACTGTGAATTACAAGCGATAGCACTGTACCACGATACGGGCTCGTGTTTCGCTCAAAAGATAATCTTTTCTCTTTCGCTCAAGTTTCGTGACGTCGCAGTTTCGGAAATCGAGAAGGAACAAATGTGCATTTTCAGCGTTCTGTTTTTAGCATTCATATCTACAACGTGTCTTTTTGTAATCGACCATGTTCTAGAATTTTGTAATTCACTGTTTCTTCCTATCTCGTATAGTTTTCGAGATACGGACTAACACTAAATCCGCCGTTTTCCACCAGGTAGCCCTGTGAGCTATCTCGTCTAGTAGAGCATAACTACTTTACTGTACTAGACAACACTTTTATGATTATAGCTGCAGCCGTTCGACAGTTAAACGGGAGGTACCGGACTTTAGTGGGCACCCTGTACATCTTTTGCTGACTACTAATTTTGATAGAAGATCAGATTTTGATTTGATGCTGTTTCGCGTCAAAAATTTGATAGAAGAAGAATTTATATCAAAATTAATTATTAGATTTAAATTTTAGGACGTGTAATCTCATTTCGCTGCATTTTCAGAAATTTTACAGCATGTAATAGACATACAAATAATAAATTAAATGCTGTCCAAATCTGGAATCTTAATAATAAAACTTCGCTTAAAAATCATCCGCACTTGTATTATATAGAGTGAGTGTCTTTTAAGTGTAAATGGAAAATTTTGTAGTTGGCAAGTGGGAAAAATCATTAAAAAGTTAAGAAAAAAATAAGGTGCTGCTTTTTTTCTTAATTAACTGAAATTTAACTAAAACTCTGAATTGAAATTTGATTGCATGGAAGAAATGACGAGGAAAACAATGAAGGAAATGAAATGAATGAAAATTGAAAAATAGAGTTCGATTTGATAAGTCTCATTTGCAATCCTTAAGAAACGAATGGTCCGTTCGTCGAAAAAAATTAACTTTACTAATAAATTCTGTTTTATAATTTTTGCGTGTATTTTACAGATGTGATCAGTTTTCCTTTGACATTTAACATATGTCTATTTGATAAAATTAACGCAGATTATACCTTTTATAGCGACTATCCTTTTATAAGAAACCTTATTGGTATCTCTTTTTCAGTTCGTTTCTATTTATTTTGTCATTATTTGTATATCTATAATGACATTGTTTTAGGGCATATCCAATTGATGATTATCCGGCGAATTGCAAAGAAGCAGCTGCAATCATGCTCATGATCATGAATAACCTCGACCCACGTGTAGCTCAGTTTCCGCAAGAGCTGGTAACTTACGGTGGGAATGGTCAAGTATTTTCAAACTGGGCCCAAGTAAGTTACATCTTCTATTATTAAAAGGCAAAAATATTTCTTTTTTTCTTCAAGTAATAAATTACTTCATGTATTGCTCAAGTGCTCATTGAGATAGATAGGAACCCAAACATCGGCCTTTCAGTTTATTCTTATCACTTTCACTATTTTGTTAATGGAGTATTTTATAAGATAAACATGAAATCAATATTCTTCTATAGAACGTCGCTTCATTTGCTGCTATCGCAAATGCTCTCTTTTGCTGAAGATTTTCCACAGCATTCTAGAAGTTCTATAATTTGGTGGTGTTCCTTTTTCAGATAGCAGGCAGATCAAGCATTGATCTTGGGCAAATCGAGCGGACTTATCGCACAGATATTCGCTTGTAATGGAGCTGGGACACTGTGAATGTTAATAGAATTCTAGCACTCATTTCATCAACCCATTCTAACACTCATCACCCGTTTCATTGTTGCAGACCTCGACTTACGCGTGGAGCCATTATTATGTTGGTAAATATAGACACTTGCCCAACTGGTGAATGTAAAGTGTTAATTTTAGGATTATGTGTCTTTAGATTGCCAATAGATGGCGGTAGTGTTTGTTTGTAAAAAGAAACTGTGTTGTCAATTATGTATATGTATCAGTTGTGTTTATTACTTTAACTGCGATCCAGTCTGATTTATTAGAGATTTACACATATTTTGTTTATGGTGCCTGCAAACCGGGGTTATTACGAACCAGAAAATCGACAGACTGAATATTTCGAAAATGGAGGGCGTTCTTGAACATTTGAAAAAGGATCGGTTGTTAGACAATTAACTACGAAACTGATAACCAAAGTCGAATCGAATTTAGCAAATAATATTCCGCTAAATGAGAAAATTGAGATAATCGAGGATTTATATGAACAGTTAATTGAGAAAATCAATGAACTGAAAAGTTTAGATTCAGAAATAGAAACGAAAGTAACTTCGGAGGAGATTGAAAATGAAGTTACCTTAAGTCAAGAATACCAGGATAAAACTGTTATATGGAGAGGAAGAATGCAACGATTTTTGAAGAAGAATTCGGAATCTTCTAGAACAGTTCATCAGAACGAAACGGCTAATGTTGCACTTCCAGTTGAAGCGAAAACAGTGAAGTTGCCACGTCTGCAAATCGGAACTTATTACGGAGATTCGTGTAAATGGTTAGACTTTTGGAACCAATTCGAAAATACAATTCATAATCATAGTGGATTGAGAAAAACTGAAAAATTTGCGTACCTAAAATCCTTACTTGGAGGTAATGCTTTAGCTGCCATTTCCGGTTTCGCTTTAAGTGACCAGAATTATGATTCCGCAGTAGAAATATTGAAAGAACGTTTTGGAAGACAAGATGTTGTTATCACTTCGCATATGAATAAATTATTATCCCTTGAACCAGTGGGAAACATTTCAAATGTTAAAGCACTGCGTAAGCTGTACGATGAATGCGAAGTCAACATTCGAAGTTTAGAATCGTTAAACGTTACTTCTGGAAGTTATGGAAATATTCTCTGTCCTATCATTTTAGCAGAAATTTCCAGAGGAATTAAATTTGGAATTTAATCGAAGTCGAAATATGGAAGCAGGATTTGATATAAAGGAACTTATAGAATTCTTAAAAAAGGAAGTTAACTGTCGAGAAGCTGCAAGTTTAATGAACTCTGCGAAAACGAATCAGAAACCATACTTTCGTCAAAATGAACAACGCACGAAAGTTTATCCGAATTATAAACCGAAAGTTCCGACTGCTTCAGCTTTATCAACAATTGGATACAAATGTATATTTTGTGACAAAGAAGATCATACGAAATATAAATGTACTGAGGTGAACTCTGAAGAGAAACGCAACATTTTGAAACGTACAGGAAAATGTTTTCTGTGTTTTGGATGTAACATTTAGCTATCAACTGTAAGAACAAACAGTTTTCCTGCAAAAATGTGCCGCGGTAAACATCATGAAAGTGTGTGTGTGTAAATCCCGCATCAGCTGTCTCCAGTGTAAAAAATAAGGAAACCGAAACATCGGCGGAAATTGTTCAAAATTCTTCTGCCAAAACTGGATCTAATATTATGCTTCAAACGGTGTATACTGTGGCTTAGGGCAGAAATAAGAACTGTATTGTGAGATGTCTTCTTGACGGCGGTAGCCAAATCTCTGCAATTCGAGAAGATTTATCAAGAAAATTACAGTTACCAGTGAAAGGAGAAACTGTTTTAAATCTGCATACCTTCGGTGAAAAGAACGGAAAACATTGGCGTCGAAAGAAAGTTGAACTTACGCTCCGAAATATTAATGACCCTGAAAAATACATAAATCTCGAAGTCATCGAAGTACCAGTCATAACAAATGCCAAACTCCAAGCATTCGGCGTCACTTTGACAGACTGCGGCGGCGCGGATGGAATGAATCATATTTCCGTTTTAATCGGCGCGGACATTATGTGGAAAATAGCAAGCGAAGAAATAAAAAGGATAAACAGAAATGCCGTAGCGATGAAAACCTTGTTTGGGTGGTGTATACAAGGCAGATTTTCTTCATCAGACTTTGAAATCCATGATGCGTGTTTAAACGTAAGTGTAGAAGAGAAACTTCTAAAAAGCGTCGAATCGTTTTGGGATATTGAATCTATAGGAATTAAAAATATTTCTGACGAAGAACAAAATGAAATGGCCTTGCAAATATTTAACAACTCGATTACACAAAAGGGTGATAGATACGAAGTTAGACTTCCATGGAAAGATCAGAATGTGACTTTAAGAGACAATTTTAAGAATGCTGAAAGACGATTTTAAATCTGATCGAACAATTTAAATCAAACTTGAACTTTTATGCGCAATATAAAGAAGTGATTGACTATCAGCTTAAGGAAGAAATCATAGAAAAGGTCGATCTTGGTACTCCATCTGGGAGACGAACTTACTACATACCTCACCGTGCTGTCATCCGTGAAGATCATAATTCTACGAAACTTCGCATTGTTTATGATGCTTCTTCAAAGGAAAAAAATCATGAATCTCTAAATGATAATTTACTACAAGGACCAAATCTTCTTCCTGAACTTTTGAAAGTTTTAATAAATTTTCGACTTCATCGAATTGCATTTACGTCTGATATAGAGAAAGCGTTTTTGCAAATTTCTGTTGCATCTGAAGATCGGGATTCAATGCGATTTTTGTGGATTGATGAGAATTCAAGTTTGAGCAATCCGAGAATTCAAGTTTTATCGGATGTGTCGTGTAATTTTTGGAGCAAAATCAAGTCCATTTTTGCTGAGCGCTTGCATTAAGCATCATATAAAGAAATTTGAAGACATCCATCCCAGAACTGTAGAAATGTTAGAAAACTTCATGTATGTTGACGATTTTATTTGTGGATCAGATACGGAGGAGGAAGCTATACAGATATATCATGAAGCCAATGATATAATGAAAAAGGCATTAATGACTTTGACCAAATGGAATTCTAATTCGGATACTGTAAAAAACCAGTATAAATCAAGTGACAACTTCGTTAGTTTTAAATTGCCTGACTGTGATTTCCCCTCAAAGATTCTTGGACTTCACTGGGATACAATTCAGGATATCTTCTGTTTTAATGCTAAAGACGTTATTGATTTCATCCAGTCAAATGACCAAACAAAACGCGTGTTTTAAAAGCTGCTTCAAAAATCTTCGATCCTGTTGGGTTTCTTGCTCCATATGTTATTCAAGCAAAAGTTCTGTTTCAGGATTTATGGCTGAAAGGTGTTGATTGGGATGAAATTATCCCACCAGAATTGCAAGACAAGTGGAACAAATGGTATAGGCAACTATGTGATCTACCTAATATCCAGATACCCGGTGGTCGGTGGTATTTTCGTGATGTTGATGAAACGCCTGAAACACTGGAACTACATTGTTTTGTGATTCATCTCAAAGTGCTTACGGAGCAGCAGTGTACGTGAAATTCCGTAGCTTAAAATATTGTGGAACAAGTTTAGTGATAGCCAAGAGCAGATGGCTCTCCTGAAAAAATTATCTTTACCAAGACTCGAGCTTATGGCAGCAGTGTTAGGTGCAAGACTTGTGTAACTACCGTCCGTGTGTATTTTCCTCAAGCTAAGATTCATTTATGGACAGATTCTCTTATTGTGCTTCATTGGATAAAAAACTCACCACGGCGATGGAAAAACATTCGTACAAAATCGAGAGTGTCTGAAATTCAAGACAAGACAAAACATCCCCGAGCATGTGGCATCATTGTCCTGGCTCAGATAATCCAGCCGATAAAATTACACGCGCGTGGTGTTAAAGTGAGTGATCTTTTGTAGTAGATCAAGTGTGGTGGCATGGACCTCCATGGCTTCATCAAGATGAAATAAATTGGCCTAAAGTGAACAAGCATTGTAACATAGTAGATAGTGTTGAAGAAAGAGTTGTGACTCAAGTTACTAGCAGTGTTCAACCTTTACAGCTTGTGTTAAAAATAGAAAACTTTAGTGACTTAGGTAAACTTTTAAGAGTCAAGTCATATGTATTTAGATTCATTAATAATTTAAAGTCACAGAATAGAGTGATTGGTCCTGTGACCAAAAATCAAATATGTGATGCTATGTGTTATTGGATTATCTTATCACAAGGCGAGTTCTTTTTTTTTTTTTTTTTTTTTTTTTTTTTTTTTTTTTTTTTTTGCAGAATTGAATGATGTTAAAGTTAAATGTAAAAAACCATTGTCTCATAATTCCAAATTGTTTGGGTTAAATCCAGTAATGGATGAAAAAGGTTGTTTAAGAGTTGGAAGTAGATTAGTAAAATCATCATTAGATGTCGATGAAATTCAGCCTATAATATTACCAAATAATTATTTTTCTCGTTTAATTATTTGAATTGTCATGAAAAGGTACTTCATAGTGGTTGTAAATGAAACTTTAGTGCAAGTAAGAGGGAAATTTTTGGATTTTAAAAGCTAGACGTTTTTTTTAAAATCTGTGTTACATGATTGTAGATTTTGTA